CCCCCCCCCCCCCCCCCCCCCCCCCCCCCCCGACCATCCCCGTTGCCCCCCTTATGTATGGACGCGAAACCGCGGAGCAGGCTTGTGGACGAAGCGCACAAGGCGTTGGAACCCTACGGCGAGAAGGCCCGGCCTCTGCTGGCCATCGCCGACTACATCATCGAGCGCAAGAACTAGAATATAAGAGAATAATAAACCGCAGTAAGTACGCAGCAGCGGAAGAAAAAAAAAAAATAAAATGACGACGTACACCGTCCGTGCCGGTGCTGGTGAAAACCTGTCGGTGAAGGCTTGTGCCGTTCTTTTAGAGGTGGAGGGCTGGGCGTTGTAGACGGAACGTGGCCAGGGAACTACACATACACATTGAGATTTTTTCAAGTGCACAATAGCCGAGACCATCGTGGGACAAGCATGCACACACACGTCATGGGGTTGGTGGAGGGGCTCGTGGAGGTCGGTCTTGCAAGATCGAGGCTACGAGACTACCATTTAGTTTTACAAGCAGTTTGACCACTGAACACAACATGGGGAAAACGCCTGCCTTCCTCGAGAACTCCTCACCTGGGCACGCACGCGATGGAAAAATAGCGAGTGTTGTGCGGTGGTTCGGCTCGGCAGGCAGCTGCCACACCTTTGAAAACGGTGTTTTATGTCTTCGCCAGGCCAGGAAAGAGCGAAACCCTTTGCAATTTACCATGGTTGGGTCATCATTGATCGTCGACGTCTGCGTGAATTTTTTGTGCGTGTCTGTGTGCTTTTCCCGAAGTTGTCGTAAGCAGGAGTTTTTCTTTTCGGCTCGTGCCTCGGTGTAGACTGGCGCTAGAAATGATGAGACCGAAAAAAAGAAACGCACAAAAACGTGTAGGATTGGCGCCTTTGGTGCGACTTGTCGTAGGCAGACATTTTCCCGTCTTTCGCGTGCCCTAATTCTCGTCTCTGAAAGACTCTACTTAAGTAAACCATCCACAACTAATAGTTGGCGCAGCCGCCGCTCTCCCAGGAGGGCGACGCCGTCACGCCCTTGCAAAACACGTTATTATCACGGCCTTCAGTTTTCAGCGAACTTCCTCAGCGTCCAGCCATGCTACGATAGGACGTACACCCTCGATACATTGCAGGTCGCCGCCGCCACCGAGGAGACTCGACTGAACCCGAACCACACACATCACTCTCCTCGGAAAAATGTACGTAAAACGCAAGCCCTAGAAACATCGGCAAGTGTCGTCGCGAGGGGGGGGAAGCGGGGTGCTGCTCCGCATCAAAAGAGACGCGCGATCGATGATCAAACCCCTCAAGAAAAGCACAAAAGAGAGAGAGAGAGTACGTTCCCGCAACCCCCTCCGCTTGTGGAGCCGCCAGCGCGGAAAGCGAGTTGCCTCGCACACTTCAACACACGTCTGCTTCCTGCACGCAACTTCGTCCCCAGCCAAACATCCAATCAGACGTGGGGTTGAACGAACACCGACAATTGAGGCTTGACCCTCAAAAAACCTTCGCCACTCTCTGTATCGCTCCTCCTCGTCTTCCCTCACACAGCCAGGTCGTGGCCCGGTCGTGTCTTCTTCCCCCTAGCGACTCCAAAGCCCCCGGCTCCTGCACCAACGCCACCTCCGCCATATGGCCATCGTCAACACAAACCAAAGTTTGGTAGGGGAGGGCCTGCCTGCCTAACTAACCAGTCGACGCTGCTTGGCTGCCCTTTTCCGATGCGCCACCCTCGCCTTCTGCCGCTGCCGCCGCCGCCGCCGCTTGCCGCTGCTCTCGCTTTGCGGCTAGCTGGCGCTCCCGGAGGGCCGCCCGCTTAACTCGTTGGCGTTCTCCCACCACTACCTTGATGGCCTTCATCGACCGCTTCACCTGGATAATGTTGCGGCAAGTCGGTGTGTGTTACTGTACAATACACGGGTTGCGGCCGTGTTGGTGACAGGAGAGAAGGCCGTCCTACTGGGGGGTGTTGGTCGGTCAGGGGTAGATATGATATACGAAGTACCGTGTTCCTGCTTTCTGAGGGTGGTGTTCGCAACCATCCGTGGAGCACGAAGGTTGTAGCGACAACGGCTCGGGGGTGTCCATGCGACCGCGGATGGCCGCAGATTGGTGGGTGCACGTGCTTCCCAAACGCTGCTTAGCAAGCAAACATTTCAGGTGTACGGCCTTCGATCACACAACGGAACCATGTTCTCGAGGCACCAACAGCAGTGCAACTGTAACGCAGCCCCACCCTCGGCATCGACGGGTAGAGGGTCTCTCGTGAAGGCGACGCCCCTCTCTCGCTTCAACAAACAACGGCGAGCAAATGCGGAAGAAAAACTCAACGGCAGAAAACAAGAGTCCGCCAAAAAAACCCACCTTTTGCCTGCGGTCCCCAGCCGGGATGGGCACTTTCGACCGTCGGCTCAGCACAACCTGCGACATGAGCATGTTCTTCTCCTTGTACAGCACGAACCTGGTGGCGTCGAGGCCCGTCCCGCCCCCAACAAAACGTGAAAAAAAATGACAGCAGCAACCCCGTCAGTAAAACATGCACCAAACCAACGAAGCAGCGCAGCCAAACCGGCACCCGAGCGCATGGGGGTGAAGTATAAAAACGGACGAAACTGCTTGCGTGGGTGTACTTAGTCCAGAAATCTTACAGGAGATGCGCTAACCTTCAGCGAGTGGACTACAACTGTTTGGGGGCGACTACAGTAGTTCCATCAGAAGGGGCGAACAAAACGGCGCAAGCAGCCCCTCCGATATTTCAGCTCAACGCAAGGTAGCAAGTGAGCACTGCTGTCGATACGCCGATGGCACCTGCTGCTGCAGGCTGCAGGCTGCAGGGAGAGGGTTTAAAGATGTTAATGGATGGGGGGCCAGATGTTCATGATTCGCTCAGACAACCTGCCATTATGTGTCCCGTCAGATAGGAGCAGGATTACATTGGGTTCGATCCTGCCGACAGCGGTGTAAAGGACGGCATGAGGGCCACCGTTGGTTGTCACGGAATGTACTATGATGCTTTACGTTAGCGGTAACCCCACCACGCTTTGGCGAGCAAACAAACGCGGTCCACACAAGCTTCATTGCGGCGTGAAATGACACACGAGTTCCTGGCAGGATACAGGGTAAGCATGTTCAAGCTCTTCCCCGAAAGGCGGCGTCTCCTTTACTCTCTCTTTCTTCAACAACGTACGCCTTGACTTGGTGTGGAGCATTTTCGCAGGGCGTTCACAAGAGACTAAATAGAAAGAGGAACTCAGTCAAAGCCATCACGGCTACGGCGACGGAAACCTCGGCGATGCTTTTCGAGCGGCGGGTTTGGTGTTTGCCAATTGTTGGCCTCTGTGACAATAAATAATCAGAAATTGGCGTATCAGCGCCAAAACCACCCGGGTCAGATATGCCCTACTCCTCTCGAGAGTTGTAAGTAGTATTGGAGCGAGGATATTGTAGGGCAGGGTTTTGGTTCGACTTTAGATGGCTGTGACCCAAGGCATCGGCGTGTAGAGTTCTCGGGCTACCGTAATGTGTGTTGTGGTCACGGGAGTCGTGTTGCCAACATCCATCAATCGCTCCTCACCAGAGCTTGTGCAGGTCTTCGAAGCTCTTTCTCCGCAGCTCAGGCACGGTCCAGCTCCTCCCGACGATGGGAACGTCCCCGGCCTTAAAACGATGGTCAAGCAGCAGCAGCAGCAGCAGGAGAAGCAACAAGCACAGCACGACCCCCCGCGCGGGGAAGACAAGCAGAGCACGCGTTACATAGGCTTGCCTTACAAGTCTTGTGTGAAATACGAAAATATGTACTCACACGCGGGCCCAAGGGTGCACCTGTAGGCTCATATTAACAGCCGGGGGGAAGCGGTGCGGTCGGGAACAGGGAAGCTCGCGTGTCCAGCGATGATTCTCTGCACCGCACAGCAATGAAACCGGGCGAATCAGTAGAACCGCAGGGCGCTTGGGCGTTCGTTTACAACTGCGTTCCGAGCTAACGAACGCTCGGTGTGTTGTGTACGGCAGTCATGCGTGCACTTTGTGTTTCAGAGCAACACACACATCATTGCAGGGCGGCATTGCCTATTGAGGGTCGCACACTTGCCTGTTTCATATGTTCTGCCAGACATAATCCTAACATGAAGCTATTTGCAGCCCGCAGCAGCCGTATGGCCGTGGTGTAGTGTGTACTGCTGCCTCGCGCTGGCCTGCAAAGCGCGCTGTCTGTACTAATGTACAACATCCCTCACTTGTTGTTGAGCGGTGTATCGCTCAAGAATGCGCAACAAACTTTCTTACCTTCACAACCTCTGGATCGCGGAACTCCTCCAGGCCCCGCATGGGCAGCCGAAGTCTTGCCGACAGAGGGCCTGTCAGCCCCCTTCTCAACGTCGAAAGCCCCGCTCGCTGATGCCGATGCGGCACATGCTGGTTGCCGCTGCAAGATCGTTCCGCGGTCGAGCGCGGCGCAGCAGCAGGGATGGTCGTGCTGCAGATCGGGGAAAAGGAGGATGACGTCGAGACCACCGGTGGTCGACGCACCGCGAACGCTCGTCGTAGGAGACATGAAACCACTCCACTGCGCATCGCCGACATGATGACGCTACTGATGCTGCTTTGTGTGGTTGCAGCAGGCAGGTGGCTTGTGCGTGTCGCTTGAGACTTGAGCGGCAAGGAGGGTCCTCGCAAACAATAGAAGATACCCCAATGGTGTACACTTGAAGGCCCCCTACAGGGCACTCCTGGCCGGCCGCAGCGCGCAGCAGCCCACGCCACGTAGCAGCTAGAGCTCCGCCCGGCACTTGCTGGCACCCACCCGCTTCTGCTCAGTAGGTTTAGAAGAAGACCGTGCAGGGTTGGCATCCTCACGTTGGATGAGAGAAGTTAAATTGGCGACGATAGGCTAGCAGTAGATTTGGAGCGGCTGCTTTCTTTCGTGCGTCCAGCTGAGCGGAGACTCTACTGCTGTAAATCCATTCTTGTTGCCCGTTTGGTGCTGGGGGGCTCTCTGTACCATGCTCCACGCAGAGCGCAGAAACGCGTTCTCTTCCGCAATCCTCGCGCTGCTGGTGGCCGCCAGGAGCGCGACGGCCATCTTGCACAAGCATCTCTCCTTCGTGCCCCCGTTCTTGGACGTGGATCACTTCGGCAAGCGGACGGTAGGGTTCGAGTGGGACGTGACGGGAGAGGCCAAGGTCATGCGAAACTTCGTTCGTCTCACTCCGGATAGACAGGTGAGAGAGAGAGAGAGAGAGACAGACTCTTAGGGTGGGAACAGGCGGCCATGATTTTCTGTTGGCGTACTGATTGCTTGTCAGTCAAACTACAGCAGCAGCAGTAGTTGGCGAACACTGCGTACAAAGGCAGAGTTCTTGCGGAAAGATGGAAAAATGCGAATCATGGGGGGGGCTCTTCGGGCAGAACGTTGATTATATGTTCTGATGTTCATGTGTCGTACATATGGTCTAGAAGGCCAACGACCAACGACCCTCGAGCCGTGAGAGAGAGAGAGAGAGAGAGAGAGAGAGAGAGAGAGAGAGGCCCGGTTACATGTCAACATGAGGTGTGGCAAGGGAAGCATTAGTACGCCAGTTCATCCGAGAGGCAGAAATGGTTTTTGCGAACAGACCGCCAGCCAGGCTACCCCCTGCGACTGCTGGTGGTTTAGCTAATGGGGCAGTCGTAGCTGTGATGGCAGCGTGCCGTAGAGGGCGTGCCGTAGAGGGACTATCTGATTGATTGTGCTTGCCTATGGCGGTGAGGGTAACTTGTGTGTGCCTGCTTCTTGCGCTTGCCCAAGTTACTGGAGATTCGGTAGCCGCCGGTACGTGCGCGGCCTCAGCTCGTCGTCGTGTTAATAGATATGCATGTCATAGCAAGGACCATTACCTAACCTGCGCAACCGACAGCAGCGGCAGCGGCAGCAGCAGCAACAGCAACAGCAGCTATGTACGCTCGGGGGACACCGATGGCCGCACCTCTGGCAGCCTATAGGCCAAGAGAGAACATGGCCTCGCACAGACACCAGTTGCATCTCTTTGCGTCATGCATGGGATATGCCTGCGATCGTTCTGCCATCATACACCTCGATTCAAGTATCTACGCCTTTCTCTTTTCAAGCAGCTTGACAGAGCCTGAGGTTTGCGGTTGGCTCACGAGCGAATTGGTACTGCTGTCGTCCTACCTGTTAGCCTACACCAATGACAAACGAGAGGGGAAAAGACCCAAAGTTGTCCAGCTTGTGAGCGTCCCAAAGATCAGCACCACCACGCCACGAGATGAGTGTTAGCCCCACCCCCCAACCCGTCCACCCTGCTGGTGTCCTCCTCTCTTCTTGCTACTGCTGTCATCAGAGTAAGAGGGGCGCGGTGTGGTCGGTGGACGCTATCGGCAACACGGTATTCTCGTCCGTCTTGGAGTTCCGCTTGTCCGGCAAGGGTGACAGATTCTTCGGCGACGGCCTGGTGAGCTCAAGCACAAAACGTTCGTTGGATACAGCAGTAACCGCCCGCACTTTAGAACGTATATTTGTTGACCGAGGCTGGGTTCATACATGTAGTCGTGCTAAAATGGCCGCTAGATACAGGTTTCAGTGAGATTCTTAACTCAAAAGCTGCTCTCTAAGTTCTTAGATTTGGGTTTTTCGAGGCTTTTCTTGAACTGCCATGGTCTTGCGTGCGGGCGCCAACTGTACAGATTGTCGAATGGAAGTTTTTAACGTACCGAGATGAACTGTTGCTGTGTGACCCCGGTAGGCCGTAGAGGGGGGAAGGGAGCAAAGGAGCGAGCAGTTGAGAACGTCATCGCGTCATCTTAGCTGATGATGTGGGAAAAGTTGCTTCCGAAGTGGCATCGAACAGCTTTGATGTCGAGAAACATATTTCCTCTCTTTGAAGCGTTTTTCTTGCTGAGAAAAGTCCGGCATGCCCCTCTGACTGCCATGTCATACCTATCAATCGGACATCTTGATTTCATTTCAGTGGACCTCCCCCCCCTACGTAAGTATGACGGCAAGCTACTGGTTCGTCCTTGTGAAACGTATCTATATTGTAGCGTGGGCTGGCAAAAACCCGGCATATCGCTCCGTTCCGGCATTGTAGGGATTCTAGGCCAACGGTCTAACTACTATAGTTTGTACGGCATGCGTTTACATGAGTACACCCCTCGCGCGCCCCGTTCTTGCTTTGCGAATCCTTTCTACCGTTTGTTTCGGTTGGGGACCCGTTTCAGGCATTGTGGGTGGTGGAGCCGGAGCGTCGGCACGACCTGTACGACATGCACTACGGAGGCTACTACGACGATGATCTGGGAGCAGGCTGGGGTAAGGGAGAGTACGGAAGGTGGAGGAATATTGAATGGGGCTGGGGTTGTACACGAGAGGGTTAGAAAGGCGCTGGTGTGGGTATGGTCGTGGTGAACCGCGAGGGTTTGCCGTGAGGGGGGGGGGGGGGGACGCCGTGAGGTGTCTGTTTCGGGTCCATATTATGGCGTGTGTTGCAGTCGAATCACATGAACCGCGTTGTCATGTGTGCGTGACCAAACCTGTAAATGTTCCTTAGCACAAGAGATCCAGCGAGCAAGCGTGGCCTGACTCTCAACGGGGCCCCGGAGCTCCCCCCCCCCCCCCCTCCCAAGCCTGCCTGCGGGCGTACAAAGAAGATCAATCGTTAATCGTTGAGGTGAACTAGCTGCTACAGAGCCCCCCCACCGCTGCAACGCGACTTTTTCCTGCTTTCGTTTGCGTTTTGTTTGTCTGTGTGTTTTCATTTGCATCCACCGCTGACCAACAGACGGACGACAGTGTGCGGTTAAGAACGAAAGCTATTTGTGCGTGTGTTTCCCCCTCTTATGGTGTGTGCTCGATCTCCTGCCCTGGTCGGCCAATCAGGCGGAGGCATGAAGGATCTTAGAGCAGATCTCCCTTCCGGAGACTTTCACGGGTTCGTCGAAACCTTCAAGGGTGAGTGGGTTCTGAAAGTATGCCCTGGCGAAGGGCTCCATCCTTATCCTTGCCCCTCTCCCCGTCTTCAAAACTTGACGCCGTCCGTTTCCATGTAGTTTGCGTCCGTTTTAAGTTTTTTTTATTTTCGGGTGTTGTTTTTTTCATGCTAGAAGTGCCCCTTGTCCTAGACGGATTGGAGGCTTGGTTGGATTAGGCCCCCAATAAGGATGTCAAGTGTTAGCCTCGCGTTTGTTTCAAGGGACTGCATTTCCAGGGGGGCGTTTTTGCCCGCCCAAAGGGTTGTTGTTGTTGTTGTTGTTGTTGTTGTTGTTGTTGTTGTTGTTGTTGTTGTTGTTGTTGTTGTTGTTGTTGTTGTTGTTGTTGTTGTTGTTGTTGTTGTTGTTGTTGTTGTTGTTGTTGTTGTTGTTGTTGTTGTTGTTGTTGTTGTTGTTGTTGTTGTTGTTGTTGTTGTTGTTGTTGTTGTTGTTGTTGTTGTTGTTGTTGTTGTTGTTGATGTTGTTGTTGTTGCTGCTGCTGTTGCTGTTGCTGAATAGCGCCGCCGTTTTCAAGTGTTGAGCGTGATCATGCCATATGCTGCCACCACTGCCCTCGTGTTCGGTCCTAGGATTGTAACCCGTTGTCGTTGTCACCGTCACCGGTTGTCGTTGCCGTTGTTTTTATTGGCCGCTGCTGTTGGCTTCTGCTGTTGGCTTCTGCTGTTGCTGCTGTTGGCTGCTGCTGTTGCTGCTGTTAGCTGCCTGTTGGCCGCTGCTGTTGCTGCTGTTAGCTGCTGCTTTTCGTTCTGTCGGACGGGAAGGTTCTGGGAGTGATTTGCCGACGTCGTCGTTGAAGTAACGTTGTTGCTCACCGCTGCTGTTGCTGCTGTTTGGTCTGTTGGCAGGTCTGGGGGTGATCGTCGACACGTACCGGAACGAGGAATATTATAACGCCCACAAAGACTTCACCATCGTGTACAACACCGGGAACATGTGCGTATTCCCCCCCCCCCCCCGCGGGGCACGAATTTGCCGCCTTTTATGGAAACACGCATAAACTGCTGCTGTTGTTGTTGTGGTCGAAGTTCGTGCCGTTGTTGTTGGTGGTGGTGTTGTTCCTGCTGCTGTTGAAACTGTCGATATTGGTGTTTGTTTGCTGTCGTGTCCAGGACGCGGGACGAGATGGTGGAGGCATCTGTGGGCTGCAACGGTCAGGTCCGCTTCTACGAGAACAGGGGTAAGAGCGCTTAATCTAAACACTGTTTAAAAACAAATCCATCACGGACTACAGTAGGTCACATATAGCGACGTGTAGGGTAACGCCTGTGGGTCGTAGTACCGTCTAGTATCGAGGTGACGTAAAATACCACACGCCCTGGACCTATTTTCACAGCTCGGTTACTCTGCAGCACTACATGTAACGACAGAAGTGATGGTCGCGACAATGGCGGTATTGGAACCGTCCCACCGAGACTTTTCCCCATTAGCCGTAATTTCATTTTGGCATCCGCTTTATTCGTCTTGGAGTAGTCGAGGTTTTTAGGATCGGTGCAGGGGTTTTTTATATCGTACGCAGGCTTCGGCACTATGTTCCCGAGTGCACCTGCCATCTTCTTGGCGACTTTCCTTTTTTCGCGCACGTGCTTTCCACAATTTATCATATGTTTCTCTTTTTTTCTTCTTTTTTGTCCAGCCGACTTCGACCCGGGATCCGTATCTTCCCGGGTGAAAGTGGAAGTTGCCGGGAACGTTCTTACGGTCAAGGTAGACCCCAAGAACTCCAAGACTTGGGAGGACTGCGCCCAGGTATAACAACCCTCCATCAGTTGTTGTTTTGAGTAGCAATCTGGTTTAATCTCTGTCGTTTGTCTTTTGTGGTTCTTGTTGATGTCAGCATGTTAATGTGTCTTGCCCAAAACCAAAGATGATTGCCCAAAAACCGTAACAACGGGGTATACCCTAGTCGAAAATCGGCGCATGCGTGAATCTTAGCCATGCTGGATGTCTCGCGCGCTAAGCGTACCCGTATCTAGCACATTGCCTACCTCACATAACTGCTACTACGTTGCTTGCTAGATAGATGTCGGTTTCCTTTCCAAACGGAGTTGTGCTGGTATTTGCCAGCCATCGTTTGTTTAGAGCGGGAGGAGTTGATGGTTGGGGTAGTTTGCAGGGGACGGAAGCTCCGTCGTGATATGTATCTGCCCAGCTACCATGGTTGTTTTTGGGCGGGGCGGGAGAGTCGCTGTTTGGTAACCCATGGTTGGACGGGAGAAGGGTTGGGAAAATATTCTTGTTGAGGAAATGGTTGATGAAATTTTCTCGTTTCCCGTCAGGTCAGGGTGACTTGCCGAAACAAGGGTACAATTCTGTAGATCAAAAAACAAAAACTAGACCATGGTACGCAAATCGACCCGGCGCAGTTTACGGTATTCTCAAATGGTACGTATTCGCCTTGCCTGGAGTCAAAATTTCCATTTAACCACGTATTTCACGATGGTAGATTTGGTTTTGTACCACAGCAACTTTTGCTTTCACGACTGTACCCCGCCAGCCGGGTCAAGCCAGTAGCAGATCGAGCCGCACGCCATCGCGTACCATGCCCGCTTGCAACCATGAACACTATTATAGGAACTGTATCAACAAACTAGCAACCAACGTTAGGAGCGCATCAATACCTTATCAAGGTACCGCCTTCCTCTACCAACACAATGGAGCTGTAATATTCTACCAACAACGACGTGTGGGCATGTGTTTGAATGTTCCAACCACACGTCTACCAAACCCCAACCACAGCTCGAGCTTGCCAACCAGTCGAAAAACAACCAAACCTGACCCAAACCCAACCACAGCTCGACCTCGCCAACCAATCGAAATCCAACCAAACCTCTACCAAACCCAACCGCAGCTCGACCTCCCCAACCAATCGAGATCCAACCAGTTCTCTATCAAACCCCAACCACAACTCGACCTCGCCAACCAATCGAACTCCAACCACACCTCTACCAAACCCAACCGCAGCTCGATCTCCCCAAGGAGCTGGGCGAAGAGTGGGCAAAGGGAGGACACCTTGGTCTCACCGCTAGCACCGGGCAGCTATCGGACAATCACGACGTTATCCGGCTGGAGACGTACGTAAGCTCGGAGGCCGCCGATAAGGGGGAGGAGAAGCGAGAGACCGCGGTTCCTTCGGGGTTAGATGCGGTGAGGGAAGGGAGTGCGCGGCAGAGGGAGAGAGAGAGAGAGAGAGAGAGAGAGAGAGAGAGAGAGAGAGAGAGAGAGAGAGAGAGAGAGAGAGAGAGAGAGAGAGTGCGAGCGATCAGCCATGAAAAATAGAGGAAAACGGGTTTGCTGGCGAATACAAAAGATATGCTCCGGAGTGGGCTAGCTCATGAGAGCACGGTGCCACGAAATGAGTGACGATGCAACACGAAATTTAAAGCTTGCGGCAGGACCAGCCCCTAGCTGACCTGTTCTTCATGCGGTCCCGGACATCCGTCTAGCCGATCGTTCGTCACGCCCAAACTCGCGTGAAATCTGCTCGCTTACTCTGTCGGGAGGTGAGGGTTCATGGCGCCTCTCCCCCCCTCCCCGCGCTTTGGTCCATGATCT